CTAGTTCTGAACACATTGTATGAAGATTTTTGTCAGCGAGGCAGTGTTTTTGACAATTTCTGTGTGCTGGTGAGAATTTGAGCGAGGCAGCCCGCCTCGCCTCGTGGTCAATGCAGGGAAACACCGCTTACAATACTATCACAATCTGCTAGTTATTCCGCAGCAGAGAAAGCACTATCGTATCACTCAATGGTTTCTTCAGAATTGCAATACACCAGGCAGATTACGTTGTAGTTTGCACATGGCATCATTGCTATTAAAGTTATCCATTAAATTGGAATTATGTATGCTCAAGTAGTATTTAGGCAAGGAGCTGATAGTTATATTATATACTGTGGACATTGAAGTCAGATTCTGAAGGCAACCCACTGCTATATATTTGGGCTGCTATACTCCGTCCACGTGAGACATTCCTATTTTACTAGTCCTTGTATTACTATTAAGTTTGTACAGAATAATAAACATCACAAGCATACAGATAAATTGTTATGATCTGTTAATTTATTATACTTCATATTTATGTGTTTGTAAAATATCAGCAATGATTTTTTCCTCTTGCAAAGGTCAAAATATGTAAATGAACACAGTGTTTCTGTATGAATATACGTTATTGTCATTTATTTTCATAAATTACAATTCATATTTTTCAACAAAATACTACAAACTAAATTAAAATGTTAATACCATGTAATAATTACAAGAGAAATTTCTGAGCAAACAAGTTGACCGTGCAGTAATTGAAATGCGTGAGAATTGTAATTGACGCTAGAATATGCAATAATAATTGAGGACTGTTGTAGACTATCAGTTGTACACTATTACAGTACACTAACACTCACACTCTACCAAAACACCATCCCCTTCTTCTCTGGCAAACCATTGCAGGATAATTTTTAAATACAAATCATAATTTACAAACGATTGACCTGAGGAATTCCCTTTGCACTGAATAACACAAGTTCCATTGTTCTACCAGTGATTTAGAAAACGAGCCGAAAAATCATTCACAGATGACTGGAAGTACAAATTATCCTCGCTCAATAATTACTGAAGAAGACTAGTAATTCAACAAGATACAAATGTCAGAGAAGGACATGTTTTAAGTTTAGTGGCACAGTGCTGCATCGCATTAATATTGAGCTATTTTTTTGTTGATAATAGTCTTTTCTGTGCATATCTGTATAGCGCTGGAAGCTATGGTGCAATGTAGATACTTGCCTATATCCAAAGAAAGAAACATGAGCTGATAATGGAATTACCAACTCAAAAATGAATCTATTGTTGAAATCCATGTTTCATGTGCATTATAAGCAAGATGGCCTTTAGTGCTGCGTCCACTTGATGGTTTTGATGTCAAGCCCTCCTGAACCATTTCCCAAAGAGGACTGCAAAAAGTGCAACGTCGTGAGATATCGATTTCACAGAGCAAAGGGCAATAATTAAGCCAGACAGTATATCTGGGACTCTATAATATAACTGTAGAGGGGCATTCGAGACTGACGAAACGGCAATTGAAACTAGAAGAAAACAACTACAGCAATATGTGCATGTGACATATTTGTATGCAATTAAATTGTATAATGCACATAATATATACCAGGGGCCCGTTGTCAGAAACAAAATTAGTCTTAACATTAGTCGTACATTAACTTTTTCTCTTAGACGTCGTCAAGAACGCTGCGAAGTTACCTGAATTGAAAAATCGTAGCAGATTTCCTCGTAACAATACAAAACAAAGTGCTGTCGATGGTCTACGAGAAAATGTTAGAGTTAAGACTAATGTTAAAGGACAATTGAAGTCAAATTTAATAACTTCTGTAACGTTTTATACATAGAAATACATTCAATAACCTATTCACATTTCAAATCCGGCACCCGCAGTTAAATCGGCAGTAAGAAACACATAATATTGAGTCTAGGTCATGTGATGTCACAGCACCCTGTTGAAACACGCCATTATGTAAACATAGTGCGTGTGTGTATAAGATGGAGACGAAAAAGCGATAATTTCAATGATTCTAGTGATTACTCAGATGATGATGATATTTATAGTGATTTACCAGTTGGATATAGGTTTGAGCCTGAATATACACAAGAAGAAATTGAGGAGAATCGTCTGAAGAAGCAACGCGAAGAGTCGGCACACACTTCTCGAGAATCAGAACAGTCACAATTCATGGCGGAATGGAAGCTTCGGTACCAGATAGGACTGTAGACAAATACTGGTGTTCTTTGTAGTGTTTGTGAATTAATGAGTACGGCACCTGAATGTATATGCTGCCATGAGAATGAGAAGACCAGGGTTATTGTAGACTAGTTTGACGCTAGGACCAGGTGAGGCATGCGGAGTACATTGATCACCGGGCTTATCACGCTCGGTCAGAATCACATGTATCTGTACATGTACAAACATCTCTACGCAAGTCATGTACATAACCGTGAATGCATTATCCACACAGGTAATATGTATGTACATGATATAAGTACATTTACAGGCTACATGTTTTTTGTAAGTT